AAGCAAGAACAAGTCTTAAGATGCCAAAGCCGAAACCTCCCTAGCATGCATGAAAGACACAATAAATTCTTCAATATCTCATGCTAAACGAAAGATAAGAGAAAAGTTTAACAATACACATCCCAACATGCTTGCAAGAGGAGTAGAAATTATTCCAAAACCATGCTTTAATTATCCAAATCGTTGCCAACATAAATATGATAAGATAAACAAAGAACATGCCATATCTCCACCACTTTAAGCAAATATCCAAGTCTAATTCCTAAAACATGCTCACATTTCATCTTTCACATACCCCCTAAAGTGAATATCTCAAAAATATATGAAAGTAAAGTGAACTAGCATGCTGTATCATCCAACAGAGCCAAGTTCAAAGACTCGGCAGAGAGGAAACCGAAAGGAAACAGAGCACTGAGAAAGGGGAGAGAAGGGTGCCTTCTTAATGCAAATGTAAAGCACCTCAACACAAGAAATCACCTCAAGGAGAAGCCCTCACAGAAATCTCCTTCTTGAACTCCTCTCACAGCTTTATCTCCCCCCCCAGCCAAAATCTCTACCCCTTTCTTTAGAAAACTTTTCAACAACCCAAAATTTCAAAATAAATTATGTTTAAGAGAAGAGAAAGGGGATCACACCGACCACCCACGACACTCGAATTGGGCCAAAGAAAAAAAACGCATTCCCTCCTCACATAAGGCGAAGCAACCGAAACATCTTGGACCGAGCGGCGAGCCTAGTGGCAGCGAGGGAAGCATCGGGAAGAAGAGAAAATTTGTCATTCGAGTGTACCAGGGAGCAAGCTTCCCAGAGTCAAACTACCAAGAAAAGAAAAACCACAGCTCGGGGAGACTGGCACGGCTTCGAGAAGGAAGGTCGCGGGCAAAAAGTGTCGAGCAAGGACGAATGAGAATTCAACTTTCTCTTGCGTGGAGGAGGAGCTCGATTGGCTTGAGACCGAGAAAGGGAATGGCCAGGCACGCGAACGAGGAGAGGGAAAGGGGGTAGAGAGCTAGGGATTTTGTGTTAAAAGAGGAAAGTGGGGAGGGGTAAAAAAAATTTTAATATAAATTAATATATACATATATATATATATATACACGTAACAAAATGGGTGTCCTTCCTAGGTAAAATCGACGTTCCGGACGTGCTGGTGCAGTCCGTTTTGTCATTCGGGGTCGCTCGGACGACGACGTCGACAATCTGGTAAAAAAACTCCAAAATTCAAATTTCACAAAATTTCGACCCGCGATCGATCGTTTCAAAAAGTTTATTCGAGTCTTCGACAGGTAACGGTGCAAGCGATGTGAATTGTGGCAATCGGACGCGCCGATTCTTCAGGTAACGGTGCAAGCGATGTGAATTGTGGCAATCAGACGCGCCGATTCTTTGAATTGCGAAGTTTGTGCGTGCGGGAGTGCGAATTGTGCAGAAGGTCACCCTAAGGCTCAAAAGGTCTTATAGGAATTCATTTTGGATTTCCTCATGTTGGTTTTACACTTCTAAGTGCTAGAAGTCGATACCACACACGCGAAACTCCAAAAGGGTACAGAAGTGGGTTGAATTTCTAAAACGTGACGGGTCTCATTTCTAAGGTTCCAAGATAGTCGAAAGGAGATCTCTAATGCTAGATCTTAAACCCTAAGAAGAAGACTATACCTCACTAAAAATGAGGTCAACAACTAATTGTTAATTCTATTGTTATATTAAAAGTTTTTTTATACCTTGACTATATCCATCCGCTAAACTTGCTCTCCATACTGACATCACAATCTTTTCATAGATACAATGATTCAGGACCTTGAAGCATTTGTTATGCCAGTGCCTAGGGCAATTTAGTTTTTATGAGTCTAAGGGCAATTTACTAATTTGTCATATAATATTGTGGAGTATAGATAGGGCTTAATAGGTTAAGGTTGAGTAATGCGTGAGATTGTTGTCTTAAAGATTTAGGGTTTGGGAGAAATTTCATACCCCCTGAATTGTAAGAATTGGGAGAGCCGCCTACCTCTTAAATTGTAGGTGTTTATCATGGTATTCGTATCGAGTATTTGATGTTCTTGTAAAATAATATTATTTGTCCTAATTTCTGTCAAAAATCCTATCAAATGGTATCAAGCATTCGATCTTGGAAGAAAAAGGGAGCTAAGGAAGGGATTGCGAATGAAGGCATCCGGATCAATCGGATCTAGAGCTGGGAAGTTGACGCCATCGAACTAGCCTCTTGTAATGATAGAGTCACAATCGCACTAGCTAGGAAGCTCGAGATTTGGTGTGCCCTAATTAAGATATAGTAGCGATTTGGGTGATCTAGGAAGTCGGGGCAGATCACGATTTATGATCTCGCGATACAAACACAACTCGGACTACATTGGAAGCCATCGATGATATTTCAACATACAGTGGCTCTTCCTTCATGATTGAAATCGTTTTGGGCGTAATGGTTGTCAAGAAAGTGGAGGCTTTGGAGGAAAAACTAGAGAATGAGATGAGACACATCAGATCTAAAATAGATGACTGTTTCTCGTCCATGGAGGGACGGTTGGAGCAATCCTGGAAGAAATGGTGAAGATCATTGAAAGTCACACAATACCACCTTCGCCCAACACGAGATTGAGTGGCGGCATCGGGAACAGACGCGAGCAGCAAAAACTAGAAGAATTCACGTGACACAGAGCAGCGTCACTGCTTTAGGCTGATCGAGATTTGCGGTATCCAGTGATAAAATCATGAACAGAATCGAGCAGCAACATCTAAAGAAATTTACATGACATCATGAGGTTTGGGACAAGAGACAACAAGCATATCAGAATGGAGTGTGATTCGGGGCTGGAGAAAATCGCTTCGAAGAAGTTCGGCCTGGGACTAGGAACCACAGTCGGTGGGACCCCGGTTGAAGATTGCATCCAGCTACGTCAGTGCATTTTGTTGTGGAAGCCTTATATCATTTTGAGGTAATGATGGGAACGAGACGGGTGGGAAGAACGAGGGAGTTTGTGATTGATTGATTTGGATGCTACAAAGTATTCAGGTGGGAGACAATATGGCAGTGTTTCACGGTTATCCCAATTTATGCAAGATTTTGGTGATGCTAAAAGCAATAAAGTGGTTAATTCTGGATGCAGCGCTAAGATTGGTGATCGAATTGCATATCATGGAAGAGACACGATATGAAGTTGATGGAGATTCCAGAGATCGATAAGCTACTATATGAGTTGTTTGGGGGGGCGGTATTTTCCGGATTGACTTGAAGTGTGGGTGTCATCAGATTCAGATGTGGCTTAAGAATGTGCACAAGACGTCATTTCAAACTCATAAGAATTAATATGAATTCCTGATTAAATGAAATGAATTCCCAGATGATGATGTCACATGAGTCAAACTAACTGATTCAACAGTAGTGTTTTCTACCTTGAGGACAATGTGTATTTCGAGGGGATAAATATTACGTCGAAGACTAGGGCAGTTTCGTATTTATTAGCCTAAGGGCAATTTAGTCATTTGTCATTTATTATTGTAGAGTATAAATAGGGCTTAATAGGTTAGGGTTTGGCTATGCATGAGATTGTTGTCTTTTAGATTTAGGGTTTGCGAGAGATTTCCTGTCTCTCGAATTGTAAGAATTGGGAGAAATCGCCTACTTCTCAAATTGTAGGTGCTTATCTTTCTATTTGTCTTGAGTGTTTAATGTTCTTGCAAAAAAATTTTATTTGTAATAATTTCGGCCAAGAATCATATCAACAATTTGGTTGCCTTAAATGATAAACGAAATATTTTTATAGAAGCAAGAAAAGATTCTATAAAATTATCAAAAAAATGTTTCGCAAACTATTCAAAAAAAGTGTCATTCTACAAGAGAGAGTCAGAGGAGAGAAAGAGAGAGAGAGAGAGACTGATATATTATGAGAGAGGCCAAAATGATCCCTAGACTATTTGTATGGAGTTATTTTAGTCTGAGATTATAAATGTGCACAATTTAGTCCCTTGTAATCTCAGATACGAACCAAAAATAATCCCTTCATTAAATTATTTTGCATTATATTTATAGTCAATGGATAATTTTGAATTAGATTTAACAAGACAATCGACAAAATTGAATATGTTAGATAGTTTGAATAAAATGGCCGCCTATAAGAAATCTAAGTACCATTTTGATCTTTCCTCTATATTAAAGGCAATTGGACATAAAAACAACTGAATGAGCCACATAAATTTCTCATGAAGAAACTCCAAAATTAAATAAAGCAAATAAGAAAAAAAATTTACAAGCCACAACGTTAAACACAAAAGAAAATTTGTGCCTTTAAAACAATACTGAATTTCCACAAATTTCAATTAAAGTAATCAAACTGATGCATGATTGCATCATAATGTATTTGCATGGTAATGAAGTAGGAAGCCTGGAAGAATCTCCCAAATAACAACCCTTTCGAGAGGAGGATAATAAGAAAACATCATTGAAACTTCTTGAGGAAATAGGTAAAAAGGCACATACTAACTAAAATAGCCTTAAAAAAAATCAGATAATGAGAGAACAATAATGAAACACTGTAAAAATCTCCTAGATTCCAATAGCTATGAGCATATACAAAATCATAGAAGATGGAAGCAAAAAAGAAAGGAATGAGTACTAGAATTAAGGTAATAGCAAATTAAATGTATAATGTAGAAGCATCAAATTTTCTTCTCTGAACCGTACATTCACTTTTCCTGTTTTGACAAAAGAAAATCAGCCCGATAATTGTAGCTTTAAGCTCCTCATATTTGCGGATTAATGTGCAAAATTACTTACAAAGCTAAACACAAGAGTGTCAAGTAAAGCTCACATTTTCATACAAACTTACCCCAAATTTAATAATTTATAGATTCTGTAAAACCGAGATATCAATTACCTAGCCGGCACTTTTAATTAAATGTGATGGCGTATAATCTGTACATGCAATGAACAAAATAATAAATAATATTTTGTATAGAAGAAATGTTTGAATGGATGCATGCCGTACCAGTGGAAATATTCGATGGAGTAGGAACAAAGCCCATCTTGTGTTATATCCACCATAGCCTCTAACAATTATATCAGCCTAGCATTATATGTCATAAAATCAAGAGATCAGAAAGAACAAAAAATGAACTTTTCAAGCATAAAACTGAAGGTTTAACCGAACATCTAACCACAAATAGGATATTAAAAAAAAACCCATTGCAAGTTGATCAAGTATGAAAAATTAACTGTGAACAGAATATACTCAAACTAGGAGGAGTCAGATTTTCCATTTTAGTTGAAACAAGAGCAATAAGCAAATTGCATTTTAAAATGGATTGATTATGTGCATTCTTTTTTTCACTTTATATAGCACAAAGAGATTACACTCATTTTCTATCAAGTATCAACTAACAAAACCTAAAACAAAAGAAACATAAAAGACTGTCAAATATTCATTTTGTATAAAAAGAAAATATTTCATTATTCCAAAATCAACTTGTTCTGCTTGCTCATCATAACTGGCTTACCAGTGAACCAAAAAAAAAAGATTTTCGCCCACAATCTGCATTCTACTAAAAGGAAACAATGGCAATAATCAGCACCTCAAACCATGGTTTACTCAAGTTCCTCAAAACATATAATCCTAAAGCAACTGATTTAGCAATCAGTCTTATAACTCAAAGCAACCAAAGCTCAACATATTCAATTCTACAAAACAACTTTTCAAATAAAAATACAGAGCAAAAGTGATACTAGAGTTAGCCCAAATCACAATAGAACACCGAAATATTATTGCTTAGATTCAAAAAGGATTCCAAGAGCGACACTTGAATTAACAAAACAACGGCACAAAAAAGGAAACAAATAACAAACAACACAAAGAATACCCTAGAGGAGGACGAGGGTGTTGGGTGGTGGCCGGATAGCAGGTGGAGGGGTTGGTTGATAGTTGCGGTGCTGTGGGACGGTTGGAAGGGCTGGCAGGCAGCCCCTGGAAGGTGGAACCGAGAGCCAGCAGCAGCAGGGAGGCAAGGGAAAGGATGGTAGCAGCTGGTTGGAAGGCTGGTGGCTTCGA